GTGACTGGCGGGGAGGGAGGGGAGACTCCAGGTCGCGCTCTCGGACCCGGAGCTCGGCTTCCTTGCCTGTGCGTGGCGTGACTTCGTGAGTGCGTGCCTGTGCCGCGTCTGTGTGTTCGCGGAGGCTCCTCCGGCCCTGCGTGTGTGTACTTTCTGTGTGCGCTCTGAGAGCTGTCTAGAGAAATGTCCCGGATGGCGTGGTCTGAGACGCCCCCAGGGCTCTGTGGAGGGAGTTCAAGGTTAGAGGGAGTCGGGACCCAGGGGCAGAACGGGCGCAGACAGGTATACGTTTCTGCTCTGGGTTTATTGGTCCGGACTGGGGAAGCAAGTGCAGGTCGGAGAGGTGTTGGCTGGGGGAATGGGGTCTCCTTAGAAGAAAAGGGGGGACCCCTACAGGCATCGGCCGGGGCGCGGTGGAGATTGGGGAGCCCGCGGGAGTGCTGCATTCGTGCTGAGAGCCTCTGGCCGTCCTGGGCAGGACGGGAATCTTGCCTAGCCTGGCGGCGCTCCTCTCCCGCGCTCTCGGGCCGGTCTCCCGGGACGCGCGGGCCCTCTGCTTTCCCCGCTCTCGGCCCTCCGCCTCCGTTCTGCCATTCTCTCCGCCACCCCCACCCCGCCTCGTGCTTCCTCCCATCTCTCGTTCCAGCTGTTTGGAAATCTTGCCTGGCTATTGCCATTAGCCCTCGTGGGATCAGGCTCGGGAATGACCCAGGCTGGACCCCGAGCAGTCCCGTGGAATCCCAGTAGTGGCACCAGGGCTCCCGGCGGGAGGTGGGCTGCACTGGTTGGTTGATGAGGCCGTGGGATCCCGTCCTCATTGCTTCCTTTCTTGGGATCATTCTATCAAATGGCAAAAAGCGAATCTTAACTTCCTCCCAGGGGGATTGATGTAGCGCTTCGTTAAAGGCCAGTCCCTTGCGGATGTGTGGAAAGCGGAGGGCGACCTGCGCTGCGCTGCAGGCCCGAGATGAGCCGTGGTTGGGAGGCGACGCTGCTGTGACCCTTCGGGTTCCCCATGGGCAGTGGCAGGGAGGCTGCCACAGGTCTGGCTGGGACGGCCTTCAGGGAGGCTTCATGTCGCAGGAAGGCTTGAGGTGAACCTGGGCTGGAAAGTCGCAGTCCAGGCTTTTCTCCTGGAGAGAGAGCTGCAAGCCCTGGGCAAGTAGCTCCCCAGGAGGAGGGCGGCCTCAGGCCAGCCGCCTCTGCTTTTCCTCATCTGCAGCCCTCACTGACCAGTCCCTGGGGTGCTGCTCCCTTTTACAGCTCCTGCAGAAGTTTGGACAGAATCCGAGACTGGATGCGGTTTTATTTTATTTTGCTTTTTAAATTTATCTTTCTAAGTTAATTTTTGTTGGAGTATAGTTGATTTACGACGTTCTGTTAGTTTCAGGTGTACATCAAAGTGAATCAGTTATACATATATCCACTCTTTTAGATAAATGAGTATTGAGTAGAGTTCCCTGTGCTATACAGTATGGATGCAGTTTTAAAAAAGGAACTATCCTTCAAAATTAAGGGAAGACGAAAGAGAATTGAATTTAAAAAAAGCTGGAGAGCAGGGAAAACCATTAACTATCCCAGATGACTCTGGGTCTGGGGGCTGGCGTCCCAGGCGCAGCAGGGAGCTTCTGCTGGTCCCAGCCTCTTTTCAGAGGGGAGGGAAGCTTTTGTCCCAGAAGACCAGTCAGTTTCCAGGACCCCTTGCCCCCCCCCCCCCCATTTAAACTCTGGTGCTTCACAGCCTCAGAGAGGCTTCTCCATGGTTTGTCCACACCCACCTGTGGCCTCTGCACCTTGCCAAAATAAGGAACCCCACCGGGATACAGCTCAGCCCAGAGAAATGCACAAGTACACCTACACCACTTGCCATGTGGCTTCCTTTTGCTGGGGTGTCCTGGGGCCCCTTCCTAGATCCCCAGAGGTCTCTGACACCCAGGTTAAGAAGTCCCAAGTGTCTTATTCTAGCCTTGAGTTCCAGACCCTTTTCTCCCGATAGTTCACAGGCATTTAAAAAAAAAAAACTTTATTGAGATATAATTCACATACCCTTGTAAAACATACAATTGAGTGGTTTTTAGTATATTCAGAGAGTTGTGCAATCATTACCACTATCGAATTCCAGAACATTTTCATCACCTTGAAAAGAAACCCCGTACCCATTAGCAGTCACATTTCCCCAATACCTCCTAGGCTCTGGCACCCACTAATCTACTTGTCTTTATGGACTTGCCTGTTCCAGACATTTCATCTCAATGAAACCATACGATACGTGACCTTTTGTTGTCCGACTTCTTTCCTTTATCGTGTTTTTAAGGTTCATCCATATTGTAGCATGTATCAGTACTAAATTTCTTTTTATTACTGAGTAATTTCCTATTGTATGGCTATACCACATAATATTTATCTATTCATCCATTGATGGACATTTGACTTATTTCCACCTTTTGGCTAGTGTGAACAGTGCTGCTGTGAACGTGAGTGTACAAATATCTGTTTGAGTCCCTGCTTTCAATTCTTTTGTGTATATACCCAGAAATGGAATTGCTGGATCATATGGTAATTGTGTTTAGTATTTTGAGGGGCTGTCTGTTTTCCACAAGGGCTGCACAATTTTACGTTTTATGTTCCCACCAGCAGTGTATGAGGGTTCCGTTTCTCCACACCCTCCCCACACACGTTCTTTATTATAGCCATCCTACTGGGTTTGAGGGGACATCATATGCATTTCCTGATGAGCATCTTATCCCGTGCTATTGGCTATTTGCGTATCTTTTCTGGAGAAATGTCTATCTTTATACCTGTAACACATTGCTTTTACTAGAGCTTTGTAAGTAACTTTTGAATCGTCGGTCTTCCAACTTTGTGCTATTCAAGATTGTTTTGTCTATTCTGAGTCACTTGAGTCTCCATATGAATTTTAGGATCAGCTTGTCAATTTCAGAAAAACCAGCTGTGATTTTGTAGGAATTGCATTGAATTTGTATTGAATATTGCATTACCTATGTATTGAATTTGTGTTGAATCTGGGAGAGTATTACCCATGAACATGGGATGCCTTTTTATTTGGATCTTCAATTTCTTTGTCACGTCGCTTGTGGGATCTTAGTTCCCCAACCAGGGATTGACCAGGGATTGAACTCTGGCCCTCTGCAGTGAGAGCGCAGAGTCTTAACCACAGGACCGCCGGGGAATTCTCTGAGTCTTCGATTTCCTTCGCCAACGTTTTGCACTTTTGTTAAATTTATTCCGGAGTACTCTATTCTTTATGATGCTACTGTAAATGGAATTCTTTTCTTAATTTCCTTTTCATTTTTCTCATTGCCACTGTATAGAAATACAATCGATTTTTTTATATTGGTCTTATATCTTGCAACCTTACTAAACTCATTTATTAGCTCAAATAGTTGTTTTGAGTGGATTCTTCAGGATTTCCTATATATAAATAGAGGATAGTTTTACTTCCTTTCCAATCTGAATACCTCTCATTTCTTTTCTTTTTTTGAATTTTATTCTATTTATTTTTTTATACAGCAGTTTCTTATTAGTTACCCATTTTATACATATTAGTGTACATTTGTCAATCCCAATCTCCCGATTCATCACACCACCACCCCCCCCGCCCCCACCATTTTCTCACCCTTGTGCCCATGTTTGTGCTCTACATCTGTGTCTCTATTTCTGTCCTGCAAACCGGTTCATCTGTACCTTTTATCTAGGTTCCACATATGTGCATTAATACACGATATTTGTTTCTCTCTTTCTGACTTCCTTCACTCTATGACAGTCTCTAGATCCAACCACATCTCTACAAATGACCCAATTTCGTTCCTTTTTATGGCCGAGTAATATTCCATTGTGGATACCTCTCATTTCTTTTCCTTGCCTGTTTGCTCTGGCTAGCACCTCCAGTACAGTGTTGAATAGAAGTGGTGAGAGTGGGTATCCTTGTCTTGTTGCTGATCTAAGAAGCTCCCAGTCTTTCACCCCTGAGTATGAAGTGAGCTGCGGTTTGTCATACATGCTCTTTATCAGCTTGAGGAAGTTCCCTTCTATTCCTAGTTTGAGTGTTTTTACCATGAAGTGTTGTTAGGTTTTGTCAACTGCTTTTTCTGTGGCTCTTGAGACGATCCTGTGGTTTTTGGGCCCTTGATTCTACTGACGTGGTCTATCACAG